CAATAGTAGCGATGGTTGATTGGGGTTTGGTATACAACCTGGCCAGCTCTAAGACATGCACTCCACTTTCGTACTTAGCAATTATCTCTTTCTTCAGTTCCATAGTAATTTTCACCTTTTTTACTGCACGGTGGCACTAGAAGCTTTCTTGGGGCCCATGGTGACTTATTTTGCAGGTACAATCACTAAAAACTCTGTGATAATATGAAATGTACCGATTGGATGCATGGATGCGACCGCACTGGCTGGCTTGTAAACACTGGCACGCACGGGGCAGCTGAGGACACACGTGGGATGTGTCCTGGATGAATTGCGTGTGGCAGGTTTTTTAACATGTGGCGAGGCGAAATTTTTGCATTGAAATGTATCGTATGCCGGATTTAACATATGCCAATGCCATCGTATGCCGGGGGTCCACTGTACTTCTAGACAATAGTAAATAACCAAGGCAGGTGAAAATGTTCACTTGTCGGTGTGACTGACTATTTGAGTACTATTTCAGTACCTAATATTAGTGTCAGAACAAAGATTGGCTATGAAATCACAAGAACTATTATAAATTGCAATTTTTTTTTTTTATCACACTGGCCGATTCCCACCAAGGCAGGGTGGCCCGAAAAAGAAAAACTTTCACCATCATTCACTCAATCACTGTCTTGCCAGAAGGGTGCTTTACACTTCAGTTTAAACTGCAACATTAACACCCCTCCTTCAGAGTGCAGGCACTGTACTTCCCATCTCCAGGACTCAAGTCCGGCCTGCCGGTTTCCTTGAACCCCTTCATAAGTGTTACTTTGCTCACACTCCAACAGCACGTCAAGTATTAAAAACCATTTGTCTCCATTCACTCCTATCAAACACGCTCACGCATGCCTGCTGGAAGTCCAAGCCCCTCGCACACAAAACCTCCTTTACCCCCTCCCTCCAATCTTTCCTAGGCCGACCCCTACCCCGCCTTCCTTCCACTACCGACTGATACACTCTTGAAGTCACTCTGTTTCGCTCCATTCTCTCTACATGTCCGAACCACCTCAACAACCCTTCCTCAGCCCTCTGGACAACAGTTTTGGTAATCCCGCACCTCCTCCTAACTTCCAAACTACGAATTCTCTGCATTATATTCACACCACACATTGCCCTCAGACATGACATCTCCACTGCCTCCAGCCTTTCCTCACTGCAACATTCATCACCCATGCTTCACACCCATATAAAAGCGTTGGTAAAACTATACTCTCATACATTCCCCTCTTTGCCTCCAAGGACAAAGTTTTTTGTCTCCACAGACTCCTAAGTGCACCACTCGCCCTTTTCCCCTCATCAATTCTATGATTCACCTCATCTTTCATAGACCCATCCGCTGACACGTCCACTCCCAATATATCTGAATACATTCACCTCCTCATACTCTCTCCCTCCAATATGATATCCAATCTTTCATCACCTAATCTTTTTGTTATCCTCATAACCTTACTCTTTCCTGTATTCACTTTTAATTTTCTTCTTTTGCAGACCCTTCCAAATTCATCTACCAATCTCTGGAACTTCTCTTCAGAATCTCCCAAGAGCACAGTGTCATCAGCAAAGAGCAACTGTGACAACTCCCACTTTATGTGTGATTCTTTATCTTTTAACTCCACACCTCTTGCCAAGACCCTCGCATTTACTTCTCTTACAACCCCATCTATAAATATATTAAACAACCACGGTGACATCACACATCCTTGTCTAAGGCCTACTTTTACTGGGAAATAATTTCCCTCTTTCCTACATACTCTAACTTGAGCCTCACTATCCTCGTAAAAACTCTTCACTGCTTTCAGTAACCTACCTCCTACACCTGCAACATCTGCCACATTGCCCCCCTATCCACCCAGTCATACGCCTTTTCCAAATCCATAAATGCCACAAAGACCTCTTTAGCCTTATCTAAATTGTAATTATCAGAACATAAAAATTATATAAATTAAAATAAAAACGAGAAGAAATGGTATATCAGCAACACTTCTGCAAGCGGCAGGACCCGCTGTTGCCGTCACACGAGCATCCAGCACCAACTTCGCAGTCTTGTATCTCTGTAAGGACTGGTCTTAAAATTTGTTTTTTTGGTCTTTTAACACAGAAAATTGCCCTCTTTAATTTAAAAACAAAATACAAATACAGTGGAACCTCTACTTGCGAGCGTGTCCACATGAGAGTTTTCCCAAATACGAGCAGTCGATGGGTCGAATTTTTGCTTCCGTACGTATGCAAGCAAAATTTCCACAAGCAAGCAGACCTCAAGGCAGGTTCCTCGACACTGGTGAGGGGCTCTTGCTCTTGATCTCAGGAATTGTATCTCATTTGTTTGTTGAACTATCTTATTGAAACTTGGGCAATGTATGATGGAAAGATGCTTCTTAACATTCACCAAAAATGAAAGAAATCTAAGCATAAATAATGGAGTTCACTTCACAGGAATTAGCCACCCCTTAGCAGTAATTTCGAATGGTTTTTATGGTTGTATTCTTGTTTTTTTGGTCTCATTTGATAGAATGGAAGATACATGACAGAAATAGATACGATTTTGATTGCTTTCATGAAGAAAAGTGCCTTGAAATTGAGCTCAAACTAGGAGAAATGGTCCATTGCTTGGCTGTTTCAGAGTAAACAAATGACGTCACTGTCCATTCCAGTATGCATTCGTGAATGGGTTGACATAATTTATACAATTATTGCAATAAGGAATAACAGTAAATCTTATATTTTGTGTGTGAATAAAAATTACAAATTATTTATATAATAATAATAATAATAATATGTATGACAATAATAATACGTATAATAATAATACGTATAATAAGAATAGTAAAATAATACAATAGTAATAATAATAATAATAATTATAATATATGTATAATAATAATACATATATAATAATAATGTACTACATATAATAATTATAATAACAGACGGCTTCAAAAGGCCGTCACTAGATGGCAGTGTTTACCATAACAAAGAGGGAGCAGTTGTGGCCGCCTTCACCTGTTACATAATGACATATTTTATTCATTCAAGAGTATATATCATGTTTCTATATTGTTTGTTATGTCATCTTAGATGAACTGTGATATATAAATAAGCCGTATAGATGATATTAGCAAAATTATTCACGAAGTATTTTGCCCGGTCTCCAGACAAACTCTTGTCCACCGCCATACCACTACATGAATGATATATTTTATTAATTTTAGAATATATATCAGGTTTCTATGTTATTTATATTGTTTATTATATCATATAGATGAAGTGAGATAGATAAATAAGCCGTAGAGTTGATATTAGCGAAATTATTGAAGTACAGAATTCCACTGGAATGAATTAATTGCATTTCAATTAATTTAAATAAGGAAAATTGACTCTGAAAATGAGCAAATCCAGTTGTGAGCAAGGTCATGGAACGGATTAAAATTGCAAGTAGAGATTCCACTGTATTCGGAGCGCTGGGCAAGTGAATGAAGATCTATGTTTGGACAGTTTAAGGGTTAAACCCAGCCATGGCTGGTTTGATAATTTTGAGAAGAGGACTGGCATTCATAGTGTTGTGAGGCATGGAGTGGGAGCCAGTGCTGATAAAGATGCTGCCAATGATTTTGTTACAGAGTTTGGGGAATTTGAGGAGGCTGAGGGTTTTGTTCCCCAACAAGTTTTTAATTGTGATGAAACAGGCCTGTTTTGGAGAAGGCAGAAGCAAAGTTCCTTGGACAGATTTTTAGTAAAAGTCAAACCTGGTGAGCTTCAACCAGGTCCAAATAGGAAAAAAGAGACAGAAAAGAGAAGGGGACTTTCTTTCCAAACAATAAAATTTCCTCCTCTCTCCCTTCTCATCACTATCCTAGTAGGCACTCAACTCTTTTCAGCAAAGTACAGTGAGGTTAAATTTGCATTTATTTCACCTAATAATTTTATATTTATATATGTATTTTAGTATTAAGCAGTGTTTAAATTATTTTATACAACCCATCAATTTATAATATGCCAATTACAATAGGATCTTTTTTTCATGGGAATGGATTAATCGTTTTTCCTATATTTGTTATGGGAAAATTTGTTTGGTATATGTCCTGTTTGGTATAAGTCCAAGGTCCTGGAATGGATTAAGGACGTATACCGAGGTACCACTGTAGTATGCTCCTTATTTAGTAATGCAAGGGGCTTGGACTTCCAGCAGGCATGCGTGAGCGTGTTTGATAGGAGTGAATGGAGACAAATGGTTTTTAATACTTGACGTGCTGTTGGAGTGTGAGCAAAGTAACATTTATGAAGGGGTTCAGGGAAACCGGCAGGCCGGACTTGAGTCCTGGAGATGGGAAGTACAGTGCCTGTACTCTGAAGGAGGGGTGTTAATGTTGCAGTTTAAAAACTGTAGTGTAAAGCACCCTTCTGGCAAGACAGTGATGGAGTGAATGATGGTGAAAGTTTTTCTTTTTCGGGCCACCCTGCCTTGGTGGGAATCGGCCAGTGTGATAATAATAAAATAATAATAATAAAAATTCATTTACCAACATGATCTTGGGAACAGAACTCCATCATTAAGTGAGGAGAGGCTGTATATATGCTTGTACATGCATGTGTAGTGTGACCCAAGTGTAAGTAGAAGTAGCAAGACATACCTGAAATCTTGCATGTTTAAGAGACAGAAAAAAAAAAAAACACCAGCAATCTTACCATCTAGTAAAACAATTACAGTGGTAACCCGAGTTTTGTACAGCTCCCAACTTGAACAATTACGTAAGTGTGTTATTGTAAGTCCTCTTGTAAGTGTATTTTTGGGGGTCTGAAACAGACTAATCTAATTTACATTATTCCTTATGGGTACAAATTTGTTTTGTAACGGCACTCAAACAGCCTTCTGGAACAAATTATGGCCGAAACTCTGGGTACCACTGTACAGGTTTCTGTTTTACACTCACTTGGCAGGATGGTAGTACCTCCCTGGGTGGCTGCTGTCTACCAACCTACTACCTAGGAATTTTTTACTTACCAGTCGTATTATAAACACCATTGTAAACTTGATGGCAGTAGCCCCAGGGACCAGAACCAGAGCACTGGATAGTCACATTGAACAGTTCTCCATGTTTAAGCCAGGTTTTACCAGTTGCATTGAGCTGTTCAATTGGCTCTGTGGGAAAAACAATGCAATAGTAAGCAAAAATTATAATAAAATGGAAGATGATAAACGCTGACCAAACTAAAGAAATTTTTCAAGAGAATGTTTATGTAGCACAAAAACCTAATTATCCTGTCCTTAAATCAATATCTCGCCAGATCTATCTAGAATATTTAAACCTGGCACATACAGGTAGGTGGCTGAATGGTTATAGCACCAGGCTTACTTCCTGAACAGACCACTTTTAATATACCTTTACTTTTGATGGAGTTTGAAAGCTTTCCTACCCCCACAGCCCAGCCCTGGGCCAGGCTTGTCTGACACTTGCCTTATCAACTATGCTGCTGCTGGCAGCCCAATGGCCCACATACCTATCACAGCCTGGTTCATGCAGAATTTGGCAGAGATATTTGTCAAATTTTCTCTTGAAGACGTCTATGCTTTTTCTGGCAGTGTTTCTGATGTCTTCTGGAATGAGTGTTAGAGTCTGGGCTCATGGACGTTATCTGATAGAATGTTCTCTTAACACTTAAACTGTCCACACGTAGATCTACGTTCACACGTGGGGGGGGGGAGGCGCTCTGAATGTAGATCGTTTTATTTTTCATTCCTTCAAATTTGGTGCGATAGGCCCGAGTCACCTAGACATGAAAGAATGGGTCTGTGCACTCAGTGTGTGCAGTATGAAAAAAATCAGGACCATTTAGTACCTTGAGGGAGCACCAGTTCAATTGAGTGCCAGCTAGAGCAAATAGTGTGGCAAACACCAGGGATTCACTGATGTTGTGTCACTTTAACACTCACATCTTAAGAGGACAGTAAAAATAGGTTAGATAAATGCATGAGTGGGTGTCATTCACGTCGACTCCAGAGCGGCGATCCAGGCCGTCATGCGCAGGGACCCCAGGGACAACATCCGGCTAATTACTGCCATCAGGAAGGACCTGCAGACACTTAACAAACAGGGACAGCAGGCAACAATCAACTGGATTCCAAGCCACATCAACCTCGCTGGGAATGATGCAGCGGATGGTGCGGCGAAGTCAGCCACTCTTGAGGGCCAGCCAGCGACCATCAGCCGCAGGCAGGTGGACCTGTGGGCAACTGCCGCAGCCAGGCACCCGCTGCCAGGGCCGGGCACATTGCGGAGCCAGATCTGGTATGACAGGGCTACCCGAGGGGAGCCCCCACCGAGCATGCGGAGGCTAGACAGGAAGTTGCAGGCTGGGATCCACCGGCTGTGGCTTGGCTACCCTACCGCCAGAAGACTCATCGAACGCGTGTGAGAGGAACTCTGCTGCCATTGTGACCAGATGGTCCCCAAGCCACTAGTGCACTACCTTCTCGACTGCCCAGCGACAGTGCCACTCCGATGGAGGCACTTTCCAATGGCACCTGGGGACCCGACCCAAGAAGACACCGCAGCCCAGCTGGTGTACCTGGCCGTCCGAGACCTGGGAACTCTCATCCCCATCCTGGCTGCCCACCCGCTGCCTCGATGACGACGCCACCTATAGACGAAGATTCGCCACTACCTCTCCTGTTTTTTGACTCTCCTACCCCTCCTTTTCTCCTGTCTTTCACCCCCTACCTTCCCTTCCCCACCGCCAAAAAAAAAAAAAATCCAATGGAGCCTGTATTAGTTTACTAGGCAAAAGCCTGAACTTACCTAGAGCCATGCCACACAACCAACAATTGTTGGGGCAACAAGTGCCCAAAGACCCAGGGCCCTAGAGACACCTGCTGATGAAGCCCAAGTGGATGCCTGCTGATGAAGATGTGAAGTGAGATGACACTTCCCCCCGGGGAGTCACCGCAAGAGAGAAGATGTTACCCTCCACCCAGAGGGCCCAAGAAAGAAGACAGAAGAAAGGAGAGGAGGAACGACACCCCCAACTCGGGGGCCACCGCCGGGTCACAATCTGGAGAAGACCCAGGCCGGGAGTACCAGCAAATCCCTAATGAATAATGAAGTGGGTGTGGGTGGGTGTGAGTTAGACATGACTAGCTTGTGCTACTAGGTCAGACACCGTGCTCCTTCCTTCAGTGGATGTGACCTGACTTGGTGGGTCATTGGTCTAAGTGGGAGCAGGGGGGTTATGAGAGAGAGTTTGGTGACATGGACTTGCCTTGCATGAGCCAGTACGCCTGCTGCTGTGTTCCTTTTTTCTTATGTTCTAATGCATTCGGCTGGCTGGCTGGCTTTGGCTGTCTCTGCCTGTATCTGTCTGTCTATATCTCTGTCTATCTCTGTCTCTCACATATACTCATAAGTACAGTCATTATACATAATGTAAATTACTCAGGATAACCCAAAAATTCCAGGCCAAGTGCTATACAGTGTTTGTAGATATAAGACATAAATAAACATGACCACACACAGAAGACAGGAAGACAGATAAGCTGAACTAGACAGACAGATAAGCAGAGCTAGGTAGACAAAGACAGACATAGATGTACAGATAAACAGGCAGACAGATAGACAGACTGACAGACAGATATACAAAGACATGTTTGTGTGATAGAGTAAAAACAAAGGCAATAACACCATTCTTCAAGGAGTTTCATACTCCAGCATGTCTAAAACATTGCTGGGACCTATGAATACTTTGTATACATTTCTAGACAATAGTCAATGACCAAGGCAGGTGAAAATGTTCACCTGTCAGTGTGATTGTTACTTATTGAGTACTATTTCAGTACCTAATATTAGTGTCAGGACAAAGATTGGCTATGAAATCACAAGAGCTATTATAAATTGTAATTATCAGAACATAAAAATTATATAAATTAAAATATAAACGAAAAAAAAAGGAAAATCAGCAACACTTCTGCAAGCGGCAGGACTGGATGTTGCCATCAGGTGAGCATCCAGAGCCAACTTCATGGTTTTATATCTCGGTAAGTACTGGTCCTAAAATTTTTTTTTGTTTTTTACCACACAGAAAATTGCAATCTTTAATTTAAAAACAAAAAACGATTTTGTTTATTTTTCAAAATATTTGGAGTGCTATGCAGGTGAACGTAGATCTATGTTTGGACAGTTTAACCCTTTGACTGTTTCGGTTGTATATATACGTCTCACGAGCCACCGTTTGACGTATTAATACACATAAATTCTAGCAGCTTCAAATCAAGCAGGAGAAAGCTTGTAGGCCCACACGTGAGAAAATGGATCTCCATGGTCAGTGTGCACCATATAAAAAAAATTGGGGAGCCAGTGGTGCATTGTGGGAATGCCATTTCAGTAGGCCTTGTTCAGCATGCCTAGCAGTAAGAAATGTTTGACTCCCCAGCAAATATGGGACTCTACTCTTCCCAAGTGATGCTCTAACACAGATGGAAGTGTCAGTGAAGATCAATTTCATGGTTTTGAGGAGTCTGTGACCAAAAGCAATGCCCAGGATACCAGAAGAATGAAGGAGAATGAAAGAGATAATGAGAGAGAATGAGAGAATGAGAGAGAATGAGTGAGAGAATGAGGGAGAGAATGAGGGAGAGAATGAGGGAGAGAATGAGAGGGAGAATGAGTGACAGAATGAGAGAGAGAATGAGAGAGAGAATGAGGGAGAGAATGAGGGAGAGAATGAGGGAGAGAATGAGGGAGAGAATGAGGGAGAGAATGAGGGAGAGAATGAGGGAGAGAATGAGGGAGAGAATGAGGGAGAGAATGAGGGAGAGAATGAGGGAGAGAATGAGGGAGAGAGAATGAGAGAGAATGGTAGAGAAAGACAGAGAATGAGAGATTCCATGATGTTGCAGTGTCTGACACTGCAACATCATGGAATCTTAGTTCAGAGGACATCTACAAGACCTTCTTCACGGCTACTACAACTAACCCATCCCTTTGGGTAGGACCTACTTCCACTGGGAAATCCCGCATACCAGTGACTATGCCCTCGTCTGCTACACGTCCCTATCCACTGACACCTATATAACCACCAGTCTCCTTGCCTTTGCTCCAGATTCTCCACCACCACGATGCTGTGAACACTAACTCCAAGGCAGAGGGACTGATTACCTCATCTTTTGTACAGGTCTCCCTCAACATTCACGTTTTCAACTTTCACGGGCTTCACACATTCGCGAATTCCCAACTGCCAAATTCCCAACCGCCAAATTCCCAGCCACCAAATTCCCAGCCGCCAAATCATATTTAAGTTTCCCGCCACCTGCGAGTCCCTACTACCCTCCCTCCGACCCCCGCAACTGGCAGCCAGCCCTCCCACCACTCAGTGTGGGGAGTGTTTTGTTTGTTCATTATTTGCTATTAAACTACAGTATAAATAATGTAAACCCATTCATGACTGCATATTGGAATGGCTATTCGGACAGGTATTAGACGGTGACATCATGTGTTTACTCTTGAACACAGCAAAGAATCGAACATTTCTGCTATTGCTAATAATAACAATAGTAATAATAATAATAATAATAATAATAATAAATACGATATAATTGAAGAAGGAAATTGTACAAAAATACAAGGGAGTGGTTGACACATCGTCAGTGTGACTTTGTTTATGCTGTAGTGAACATTAGTCTCCCTGCTCTTCCAAACATTTCACAATAATTCATTGTGTTTGGTGCTTGTAGATTGAGTGTGACTGGAGTGGTAGAGGCAGTGATTGAGGCAGCTGTTGAGGCAGTGATTGAGGCAGTGGGTGAGGCAGCTGTTGAGGCTGCTGTTGAGGCAGCGATTGAGGTAGTGGTTGAGGCAGCTGAGGCAGTGATTGAGGCAGTGGGTGAGGCAGTGGGTGAGGCAGTGGGTGAGGCAGCTGTTGAGGCTGCTGTTGAGGCAGTGATTGAGGCAGTGGTTGAGGCAGCTGAGGCAGTGATTGAGGCAGTGGGTGAGGCAGCTGTTGAGGAAGCGATTGAGGCAGTGGTTGAGGCAGCGGTTGAGGCAATGGTATTTAATAACATACATGTTAATAATAATGCATGTTATTAATAACATGTACTATTATTATTTATAACATATATGTGTGGTGTGAATATAATGCAGAGAATTC